AAATCAAGGTCATGAAGTCGTAATTAATGCTGTTTTGAATTGTTGATTTAATAAATAATGCCAATGTTTGTGTTAATTCGATGCGCTCACCTGTAACGAAGGATAATCTGACTGAGCGCTCATCTGCTACTATTGTATACTATTAACACACAGAAAATGACGCATGCGAGGGTGAACACAGGGTTAAACGACCAGCGCTGAGATTTTTTTCCTGCCTCCTTGTTGATGCATTATCTCAATGCCGCCTGACATACGGGAGGAAGAGTGCGAGTGCATGTGCGTATAGTCATTACGAAGATGTCTCTGGTCAGACCTTCCATCATCCGCCGTTCTCTCTCCGCTTCTGACAATTATGAGCGAGGAGGAGAAGGAGGCCAGGCACTTGACCTGATTTCTCATAGATCAGTGACCGCTCGTCCGCCTCGTGCATCCTCTGAGTGCGCATAACGTAAAATGACACTCGCCCGAAGCTGCCTCGCAGTGCCTCGTTCTGCGTAACCACACATGACAAGCAGGGGCAGGAGTAGCTCCAAAGGCTAGAAACTGGTATTTCATTTAAAAAAACCCTAAATAAATAAATAAATGTCCGTCTCATCTGTCTCATTTCTGAATTGCCGATCTCCCTCTCTCTCTCTCTCTCTCTCTCTCTCTCTCTATCTCTCTCTCAGACAGAAGAGCAAAGCCTCCTGGGAAGCACCGAGCACAAGATGATTGCCTTCTGTCGGTTTGTGTGAGCGTGCCACCAGCTCAAAGGTGAAATTACCCATGGCTCAATAGTGCGAAAACGAACCTGCCTCCTCTCCCCATGACGCCGGTGCCCTTTTCCGATGCGATGAACGAGCATGGACGAACGAAATACTGCGACACAAGGATAAAAAACCTTATGATTTTACTTGTCATTTGCTCCACCACTATATTACTAACATGGATATTACAGATATGTCCAGAAAATGATCCCAAAAGGGCTCTTACATGAAGTTCACATGTGAATAATCACGTGAGAATTGTACACATGTGGTTATTAGATGTTATTTTTCACCCATTTCTTCATCGGTAGGAAAAGTGGTTCATTTATGCATTATCATTTTTTACATGTACATATAGTACATATATGTGAGTTTTTTAAATACATAATCATTACATATTACTCACATAATCATGCGATGAGTGCACTTTATCTTCTTCCTCTGGGAACAAATGATTCACGGCTTGACCCTAAGAAAAAAAAGACACTCTTTGGTGTAAGAAGAGAGCGATTGGCTTCTATTTAATCTTTTATCATGGCAGAAAATGGAGCTGCCTTTAAAATAGTTTCTTATTAAAGTTAAAGGAGGACGCTTTGACAGTGCTGAATTGGTTCATCATCTGTAGATCGGCTAAATGGACAGCCGAAGGCCCGTGGAATGATCCGGATGATTCGCTGCACTCCTATTATACATCATGACAGCTTGGAGTTTATGAATTTTATTAAAGAAAAAAAAATCTTACAGGGAATTGAGCTTTATCAGCTTTACACTTTAAGCTACATAAGTTCAAATGATTTCATCCAGATCATTTGACTTTTGTTTGAAATGTCAGTGAAAATGAGAAGCAAACCACTTGTCTGGTCTATTTTGCTTTTTTTTTTGTAATATGTGATTTATTTTTCTGTACATAACCTGTCTAAAGTGTATTAGAATGAATGATGAATAAGACCTGGACACATGACGCAGATTTTATTTCTTCATCAGTTTGTTAGGCTTGGAAAACATGAATTTGATCATGAAGTTTATTCTCAGAAGAATTTAAAAATTAATTATCTGTGATGTTGACTCATCAATCGTCTGAATGCCACGTCAGGACACGTCAGATTTTTCATCCTCTAAACTTCTCAATCAGATCATTACGCCAATCTGAATTTAGTTTTTGCTCCAGTTATAATTTTATCGACACTTTTATGAACTTTTAAAGTGCTATAAATGCTATACACACCGATAGAGATAAGGGTGTAAATACAGAAATAAAATACGTTACATAGAAAAAAAAGCCTTGGTGTAATAATGTACATTCAATCACAGAGTCGATACTTCAAGCTGACAAATTCCTCCTTCAATACCTAACAGCTGGAAGGATTTTCAGCTACATTAATTGTGCAGTAATACGCAGATTTGTTCGCATCCGCAGGGTATTTCCCTGACAAAACAAATTCACACCACGACGTCTGATGGATAAAACTGTCAAAAGAAGTGCAATCCGTCCCCAGTTCCTTCCCGTGACTGAACACTGAGCTGAGTCTTTTTTTATTTATTTATTTTTTTTTTAAGGCGTAGTCAGATCATGGACTGTTTGAGAATAAATCACATCACCGTCATGCAAATTGGATTTGGAAATCCCATCTCTCACTCCATAATTATCTGATGTCTCATATTGATGGACTGGATTTGGGGATTTAGGAGAAAAGTCATATAATTAAAAAAAAAAATTGAATATATCTTATTATGTATATTCAATATAATGTGAGGTTAGAATAAGATTATGATGCCGTATTGTTGTTATTACAAATAAATTAGATGAAGGATTACTGAAAATGATGAAACGGAGTCACTGTTACAACCCCAAGTTCATTATTTTCCTATAACAGCACATCCCGAGTGTTTTATTCCTCTTACACCACAACATTTTGCCAACAAACCCTTTGTTGTAGGATTCTACATAAAATTTTTAAGGGTTCCACCAGAGGAACAGGCCAAAGAACCCTTAAAGTAAGACAGTAGATATTGCCTGCAGAAAGGGGTTTTGTCCTAAAATCAATATATGGTACAAATTATATAAGGGAGAGTGGTTGAGAGTCTTTACTCTCTCTGGCTGCCGATTTCATTTTGTATTAAATATAAGACTGCAGATGTTTTCCGAAGAAGTCAGTTTTGGCTCTAAATTATGTTGTACCAAAAGGTCAGATGATGATAAGAGATAAAGGTTCATCAGATCCTAAATGAGTTTTTCTTGGATTTTCTTTGATAGGGAAACCTTCTGTTTTAGGGTTCTACCAGAGGAACAAGCTAAGAACACTTAATGGTAGGATGGCAAAGAAGAAGAAGAAGAAGTAGAAGAAGAAGAAGTAGAATAACAAGCAGTGGGTTTTTGGCTCAAAATTGATATACTGTAGCAATCAGGTTAGGTGTTGATAAGAAGTTTTCCAAGATACACTATATGGCTAAAAGTATGTGCACCCCTCCTAATGAATGAGTTCAGGTGTTTCAGCCACACCCATTGTGAACATAATACCTTGCATAAAACCAAGCACTCCACAGACAAGCACTGGCAGTAGAATGGGTCGTCCTGAAGAACTCAGTGACTTTAAACATGGCATGGATATAGGATGGCACCTATAGAAAGGCAGTTCATGAAATTTTTGCCCTGCTATATCTGCCCCGCTCAACTGTAAGTGCTATTACTGTGAAAAAACAGCTTATCCATGTAGAGGTAGACCATGTACACTCACAGAGCGAGTGCTGAAGTGCATAGCATGTAAAAATCGCCTATCCCCTGTTGCATCTCTCACTACAGAGTTCCAAACTACCTCTGGATGCAGAGGAACTGGGCATCAGGAGCTTCATGAATTGGGTTTCCATGGCCGAGCAGCTGCATACAAGCCTAAGATCACTATGCACAATGCTGTGTGTGCGCTGGAGTGGTGTAAAGTGCATTTACGACTCGTCATTTACGCAAATTTGTCTGAACATTTACCTAAAAGTGTGGGCTTGTTCACAAATGATCCATCACTGGATGTAAAATAGGTCTTATAGAGAAAGTAAAATACCCACAAGTGGATTTGATGCCTTTGATACTGAGTTAATGAGTTCTTCAGATGTTTCTACAGCTCCATTTTTACTCAAAGTTAGCAGGTCTCTACTTTTCCTGAGGCCAATAACCAGTGATATAATCTCCTTTTGAACAGAATTTACATTTGAACAGCAATCCTGTGCAATACCAATTCCAGATTCGATGCAAATGTCTTAAGAAAAATGAGTTTCTAATGAGTTATATACCTGCTACTGATATACAAATCAAGCTAAAAGGTTCAAGTCAGGTTTTGTGGCCAATGAGCCAGAGCAGGATCGGTATTCATATTCACCTGAACTCATCGATACGTCATTGACTTTAGCGAAGAGCTTATAAATCCAAGGTCTTACAGACAAAAGGCAGAGAAAAAAGGATCCACAATAAGATTTTTCCCCTCCTTTTCTCCACTTTCTCTTTCTGTCTGCACTGCAGGTGATGATAATTAATCACGCTACCATTAAGTGAATAGGGAGCAGAGGTAATAGATCAATTGACAACTAGATGATAAGAATGGATGGGGCAGCTCACCTTGGGCATGGCTGCGAGGATGGATGAAGGCCAGAGGAGCCGTGATCACTCTGCTCGCCTTGTGGGCAAAGAAAAGAAAAAAGTCTGAAATGAAATTGAAAGTTGGAGGACTTCTTGATTTACAGAAGTATAAATTTCTTATACTATACTTATTTCATGATTTGTTTATTTTTGACCCTGTGCTTTTCTCTTTAGGTCAAATAGCTCGGGTTAGCAACCAAAACCCAAATCATGTGCTTTTATCATGCTATGAAATAAATACATTTGTGGTTGTGCTCCAATTGTGCTGTTTGTACAAGTTATGATAGCTAGACTAATATTAGCGCAGCCACATGATTACAGGGTTGACCCAGAACAACACTCCATTTAAAAAAAAAAGCCTTAGTGCTAGCATGTCTTGATTAATAAGATCATCATTACTTTCATTTTATTACTTGCTCTAAGTCTTGCAATGAATCCTTTCTTCTAGTGCCTTGTGATATCTCCAAAAAGAGGCTAATAAACAGAAATGTAACATGTAGTTGGCAAGACTTTGCGCCAGAAAACTGTTATAGCTTTTAATAAAACATAATCATAATTGTTGGCAAATTTCTATGGTATAAGAAGAATAAAATGCTTTATGGACCGTTAAAGGAAAATAATCAACTGGGTCTCTGGAGGACTAGTGGTTAGGCCACAGTGCTCTCACCACCGCGGCCCGGGTTCGATTCCCGGCCAGGGAACTGACCCCAGCCACTGAGGTTGCATAAGACAGTGCACTCCCAGTGCTGGTCCCAAGCCATTGCGTTCCAAGCTCGGATAAAACTGGAGAAGGCTGGGTCAGGAAAGGCATCCGGCGTAAAAATCAAATAGGCGGACCAATGATCCACTGTGGCGACCCCTAACGAGAGCAGCTGAAAGAAAAACAACAACAACATAGGATAATAATCAACTGCAGGGAGGTAACATTAAATCTGCTTCATCACACAACTCAGTATGTTACTGTAAGAACAACACACACATACAGTATATGTCCTTAGTTGATTTATATACATAACAAAAGGAAGAGAGAAAACACCCACGCAAAAACAAAAACAAACAGAAGTGCCATCCTCACTGTGGAGTTCTCAAAATATCGACACGAGCATGCCGTCGTTAATGCCATCCTCTATTCCGATCCTGATTTACATCAGATAAAGCAACTGTTTTACAAACACATTTTCCATTTGCTTGCTTTAGTCTGTTATTTTTATTCTCCTTGTCATGTCAGTCACTAGTCATGAGTGGGACCGAACGCCTGCCGAGAATGCTAAGGGACCGGCAAAGCTACACATTATTGTCTGCCGGATTTGAGCAGTAAATTGCATATCTGAGTCTCCAAACACTGTCACTTGAAACACAGATAAATAAGACAACACGTTTCAGGGACTCCTTTGAATCAGCGGCCTTCTGGTGCTGTTTAAAATGACAAAAAGGACATTTTTTTGTCTTAAATTAAGCCCACTTTTGCACATTTGCCTGAAACACTAAAACCTAATTAGCTCGCCGTATTGGATTTGACAAGGCGGTACAACATTGGAATCGTGGGTAAGTGTGTAAAAATTTTCTTGTTCTTTTTTGAAAGCTGAAAAAACCCAGTAGCATTAATTTGGCTGTAATATAATAAAGAATAATCCACTAGCTTGTAAAAGGATCCATTGTGAGTTCGTATGAACTGAATAAATGGTGAATAAAAAGGCCTTAAAGATACAATTACCTGAATCTGTTACAAGCTTGTACACACTAACTTCACCTGAGAGGAACGTGAACATTATACCAGATCTGTCAAATCAATTGAGCAAAACCTACCTGATGTTGCCAGATATCAGCTGTGGAGAAAGCGGAGAAGCCGGGTGTATGCAGTGAGGGACGACTGACCGGGTCTACTGAGCATCAACCTTTTTCAGGTGAATGATTAGACTGATTGTCCATTACGCCATCACACACGATATGATACATAAAACAGGAAACAATGAAAGTAAAGTCATAACAAAATAAACTTATAACCAATGGAATGAATTTGTTACCAATGAGCAGTCAGTTAAGTCCTAACTGTTTTTACCTGGAGCTAGACAAAAAACCTCGAGCCATAAACTCCCACTAAGTGTGTCGAAGGAAAAAAAAGTAAAAAGGAAAGAGAAGGCAGACAGCATTCATTTTCCAAAATGGGCTGGATTAAACATGAAACTAAATTGTGCAAAAGAAGACTCAATATGCGGTCGCTGCCAGGTGTTATGTTGGAGCTTGTTAATGAGCTGGACTTTTTGGTCGATTTGACGAGTTTATGAGGTGAAAAGTGGCTAGCAGAGGAGAGCCCTGGGCAGGAACCTAAGCAGATCCCTCCTCCGCTAACCACTTTTCAGGATTTACTAATCCACCCCGGCTTAACCTCTTTAAGTGCTGTACAAATACTGTACATTTAGCCTATTATTTGTTTTGTCAGTGTGTAACTGACGCATAAAACTGAAGAAGATAGATTATTTGATTGCTTTCTGAAAGTAGCTGTAATTAAAAAAATAAAATGCTTAACTTTTTATCCCAAACCTCATCATTAGGTAACCTAGATAGAGTTGTAGTTAAAGTTATGAGATTCAACTCCACTTTTTACTCTTATTTTGAGCATTATTATCATTTGGATCAAAAAGAGTCTTTCAATCATGACACCATGTTGCTCCACAAATCAACACATGACAACTTGCTTGGCTCTATAAAGTCGTAAACTTTATATTAAACTTTATATTCATTAAAGAAAATAAGTGTGTGCAGCACAGCTAACACATAGACACAGTCGGATAAATTACAGCACTAAACTACTTATGCATGTGTATTTGTTTTTTTGTTTTTAATACAGCTAATAATCTAGCATGAATACATGCACAATTTAGCATCACTCCTGACTTCCTGCTGCTGTCACTTCCCATAAAAGACTTTAGATTGTTTTCCACATGGCCAAGCAGCTCGTTTAATCAAAAAAATCCTGGACTACACTTAAAAAAACACATTTTGTAAAGCCATTATTTCTTTTGCAACCTTTTAAAGATTTTAACTTCATTAACGACGCCGTCTCCTGAGGAGCGCTCCCAATAATCGTCACTGTCTTTTATCTCTTATTCCGATGGATTTGCTCGAGGCCAGCCTCCGAAGTCCAACAAGTGGTCACTCTGGGTCTCACCAATCCATTTTGGAGTAAATGAGTCTAAAATACCCATTATCATTCAGGAGCATAAAGAAGCCATTTTGAGCACATGGTACTAGCGCAATCCAGCGTAATGGAGGCTGTCAGAGACGGAGGCTGAGACCTCGGCAGACCCGACGCATAAACAATGCAGGAATCAGAAAAACGCCATTGTGCTGTAGTGAGGTAAAATCCGTTCATACTGCTGAGCATCCTTTAATATAGGCACCCTAATGGCAGACAGAGCTACTATAAAACACAACATATACCATACATTTGGCATAAATCACAGAAACTATCCAGAAAGTCTGCTTAGAAAATAACTGACAGTCATGTTTTATTTGTTTGTCCCTTTTTCATTTCTATCTGCTATTCACTTTACGACACCTGCTACAAGAAATTGTTTCCTGATTATACCACTGTGTCCTGCTATTACAGGGAAAGAAAAGAACAACAACAATCTGGTGAAGCTGATTATTTTCCTATAACAGCTCTTTCAAACATGATTTATTTCTCTAATACGACATCAATTTGTCAACAATAACATTTTTTTAAAATTTATTAAAGAACACCACACTTTTTATCCATTTATTGTTACATTTAATTAGTTCCTGCTTTCACTTACATTATAGTTGTCATTCCCTGACCAGCCTCTCTTTTTTATCTTGAGGTTAATAAGACAAAAAAAAAAACAAAAAACACCTTGTCATGTTACAAAGAAACTCCAAAGCATGAGACATGTCGGAAATCTTAAAGTTGCAGCTTTACCTCTGACTGATATAAAGCGCTGACACTGGAGACTCCTTCCATAAACAATAAACAAACATTCCCTTACAGAAACTTTCACCGTATCAACAATTACACACGTTTATTCCGTTTACATGGAGCGTCTGCTGTTAACGATAACGCGTTAGAACAAGTGCATTAATATAAACCTGTGATTTGCAGCTGCACTAATGTCAGAGCTGCTGTTATAGAAAATTAATCAATGCCCCCCGACCAATTCAACAACTGAGGATGATTGTTGCTTCAACAGCATGGGGTTACAGTTACACATTCAGAAGAACTGAAGCCTGTGTATCTTTAAAGGCAAGTGTTTGGTGTAGCGCTTATAGTTTTCTTTTTTTATTCACATATCCAGTGAAATCACACGGAGTGGTAACTGTTGAAAGATCAGGTTCCGTTTAGAGGAGCGGGATGGCCCCCAGCTGCTTTCTTTGTGAGATTAAAATTGCTTGGGACGCCACTTTGTCGTTCTGAAATCCCCGACTGTGACTTTAAGGCGGGTTTAAAAAGCTCTGGCGTTTTAATCTAGCTGTAAGATCAATATGTCCAGCTGAAAACCAAGTAAACATAAATTGATTTTTTCCTCCCTCAACTCAACAGTGTCCCAGAATGACATGAGAGAGAGATCGCTTCTAAAATAGCTGCTCTCTATTTAATCCAAACTGCCATGAAGCTGCGGTGTCCTCCAACAGGAAATGATGCGCTGATGCGATCCAGAGGCTCAAGTCATTTTTCAGCCTCTGCTTTCTCATGATTTAGGCCATGTTTGCAGGATTACATCTCGCCCCCTTTCCTTTTTCCCTGTGAGTCTCAGCGGAGACAATTAAATTGTGACAGCTCTTCATTTAACAAGAGCCGTTTTACCTTGTAGGGACGAACACATGGCAGTCTAATTATCGAAGAACGGCACGAGGCTTCCTTGCCGCTTTAGTGCTGTTCTCCGATGTGGCCTGACGCGTCTGACAGCCAAAGAACAGCGGGACTGAAATTACCAGGATTAATGCTTCTACTGATGAACTTCTCAAATGGGCCTGTGATGATGGGAAGATCCTACTGGGGAACTCTGATTGGTCTTACGCAGAAATGCAATCTCTTCACTCTCTGAGCTCTTACTCACTCTCAAACCCCTGATGATCACCGTCTGTCACGGCGCACACGCTTGATTGCACTTCGGCAACGTATGCTAGAAGACTGAAAGAATGATATGGATGATGGAACTGAGGTGAAGTTCACAAAGGAATAGACATTAATCATCTTCCGGGGTGTGGTTGGCGGGGGCGCGGGTGGTTGATGTCACATGACTTTAGTACAGCTAGATAGAATAATACTAGAAGGTCATAAAGTGTCAAAAGTATTAACACCAGACTTGAATGAAATCCAAGCAAACACCTCTCACTTATTCCAGTTTGTAAGCATTTTTCAAGAAATTTGTCAAACTAATAAGATAAATTTCCTTGAAGTCAAAACATAAAAGGCCGAGTCCTCTGCACACTCTGACCGATCATGGGGGAGAAAAAAAATATTGACACCCCAACAGGTTTGTCTGTACACATGACTTTTATTATTTTATTATTAAACAAAACTGTGGAATAAATCCCCACTGGAGAAACAATCAAAATAAATGTAGCTTATATTATACATTTATAAAATAAGCCCATGTACTGTTGGTTCTGTGTCTACTATAGAACCACGGAAAAATTCAGATCATGTACCTGAGCTATTTGACTCTAATCATAGTGCTGT